TTTAAGTACAACAAAATACAGATTTATATGTAGGAGTGATTTACCAGGAAAAAAAAGATTTATTTGTATAGGTATTTATAACTGTGAAATAGAGTAACTTTTTACTCACCACTATCTTACATGGCATTTAAGGTCCACACGTATATTACATACGGTGTTACATCAAATTGCAGCTTACCGGTGCAAGTAATCTATTCTTGACGAGTTTTGGATATTCCGTACTTGTCTGCAGTTGACACAGCTTGTCCACCATAGAATTATACGCACTATATTCTTTTATTGACACACAATTTTGATCCCATTCAATATTCTGTGGTTCAATCGTAGGCTGATCAATATTTTTGTAAATAAAGCATTATAATAATAAATTACTATACGTTTTAAATTTAGCAATAAATCAAAAATTTTAGTTTCGACTTTTCGAGTAAAAAATAAATGGAAGAGATACTTATCTAAAATTATATTTTTGTTYTAGGTTAATGATTAGGTAATAATCATATTATGCAAGTCAAAATTATAAGCTTAAATTATATATACCCGAATATTAGTCATTTTTTCAACGCGTTTTATGCTGCATTCAGTGCTCATTTGTTGCCTATTGTCAGCCGCTGACTTGTTATTCGTAACCACCGTGTTGGTATATATCTAAAATAAATTGTTTTCTTATAAAGGTTTATTATTATAACATTTAGTTATATATATAAGTCAAAATCAAATGTACCGGAAGGTTCGTCTTTTTTGGAACATGTTTTATGCTGCATTCAGTGCTCATTTGTTGGCTGTTGTCAGCCGCTGACTTGTTTGTAACCACCGTATTAGTACATACCTAAATTAATTTGTTTTTGCTGAATTTTAATTATTATAGTATATAGCCACCAGAGCAGTGCTGGGTGAGTGGCAAATGGGACAAGTACCCTAGTGTGGCAAAAAACGTAACATTTTAAGAAGTGACTATAATTTTGAAATAATTAAATATGCATGTTTAATAGTAGTGTTCGGAACGTTCACTGAAAAAATTAATTCGTTCAAGTTCACGTTCATGTTATTTTTCAAACGAAACGCATTCACTTTCATGTTCTTTGAAAAAACGAACACATTCATTAGGTCACTAATCTAATTATGTCTTGTTAATTAATATTTTACCAGTAGTTCATATAAAAAGCCATAAACATATAATAGGACTSAACCCAAAATTAAAAACACGATTTAGACTTTAGAGCATATACATTTTCTAAAGTATCTAAATTATATACATATATTTATTAAATAGTAGATAAATTGAATATCTTAAATTCTTAAAAACCGTTCAAATTCATTCAAAATATAAACGTCGTTCACGTTCACGTTCTATTTGAAAAAAACGAGTTACGTTCGTGTATCATGCAATAGCTGTGGACGTGAACGACGTTTTTTCCAAACTCTGTATTAATACTTAATAGAGATGCTAATGGAATAATTATCACAGCAATGGTAGTAATGTAGGTGTCTCGTATTTATGAAAGTAAAATTCATATACCTATTCATATGTACCGGAAATTTCGTATTTTTTGCAACAAATTTAAAATACTTTCGGTGTTTACCTGTTGGTTGTTGTCAGCCACTGACTTCTGGGTAACKACCACCACGTCCGATAACTGATCAATGGTCTGACTCGAAACACTACCCTGAAAATCCTCCGTTGTAGTGTCCGGCTCAAATTCTACAACAATTGGTACTTCGTCATATCATACATAATATGTAATTAATTATAACAATTAACTATACCAGTAGGCACTATCTCCTGTCTACTATCTACAATATAATATTTTACTAAGACGTTTGACATTTAACAGGAAATTAGGGAACAGTATTTTATTTTTTAGATATAATTAATCATGTAAAATAATGTCGCCATGAGAATATAGTGACGTTTTAACGTTTTATACTGTTAGAAAATTCAATAGTACACAGTGGCGCGGCGCCACTGATAGAACATCGATAATAATAATAATATTAGTAAAACAATACTCACTAATAAATTATTCAAAATTTACATTTAAAAAAACAAATACGTTAATATTGCATTAATATTACCATAGAAATAATATTCTACTATTGTGAAATTGTTTTATGATTCGAACTCATGTACCTTCACGGGCACACGGCTAAACCTACATATTATATAAAAATATTACATATACTTTTTATTATATATAGTGATTACTATAATACTGCATCTTTATAAGTTATGGACTATAATAATATGTCAATATACATGAAAACTTATGAATATTACATACCATCAACAATTATAGGCGTATCTTCGTGTTGAATTTCAGCTCCATCTTCGCCGACTTCTGTCTTTATTTTGCGCAAACTCAACAACATTCGGTCTCTGCAATCCCACAACGATTCGGCGTCTTGGATGACTGCATCCCGCGACTTATTTTTCACATAATCACCCGATACTTCATCACTGAAGTTACTTGCGTATGACGAGTCGGAAGAACTTATTTTTGTTTTTTTCTTCTTAAACATTTTTAAAAACGACATTTTCCTACATACATCAATAATTTAGTAATTAAKACATTTTAATTTTAATTTAAAAATAAATATTTTAACATTTTGTTTCCAAGGTAACCTTTGACGATTAAACGTTATAATTCTCTACACCTTAAATATTATACATATATTAATATATATTATATATAATATATTATATTATTATATAATATCTACTACCTCGTGAGATCGATATTTTCATTTGTAGTAGTCAGTTTTATAAAATATTAAAATGGATTTTTCACACGCATAAAATACGAATATATTTTTCACTTTTTCTTAAAGTGGTCTCTACAATTTGACAACTGTTTCACAATGTCGTTATTCACTTTATGAGATAAAATATTCACCTCAAAAAATAAATTATTATTATTTGTATATATTTTTTAAATTATTTAAAATATCGCATAAACAAGATTTTATTTTCCGAAATAGAATAAAATTATTTTGAGTATTTCATATCTTAATATAAACTTTCCTAATTTTATTATTATTTATACAGATGAATCAATATCATCCATTTTTTCTGGCATTCTACATACCAGAATTACATATAGGTATCTTTCACCAAAAACCTCCCACCATCGTCTTTCTCTTTCTCAACTGAGTGTTATGCCATCATTGAAGCCCTTTCATTAATTCTAAATTTCACCCAGAATAAATATTTAATATCCACTGACTCTACGTCTTGCCTACAAGCTTTAATCTCCAACCCTTTCAACTCTCGCTTTTCCCCTCTTGTTTTTCGTATTAAATCTCTTGTTTTCAACMTTAATCAATCAAACTACATTATTCACTTCCTTTGGATTCCCAGTCACATTGGAGTACGTGGTAACAAAGTCGCTGATAATTTGGCTAAATCTACCTCTCWTATAATTTGTCCCTCTCTTACACATTTATCACAATCTGACTTTATCCCATTTTTAAAACACTACGTATCTATTCTATGGTCTTCTTATTAGTATAACTTACCGGCTGACTTCGCTTCAAGATATAGATATAATACAGCAYCCGATATCATTAAAAAACTTGGTTTAACAATCTAAACTAACAAAGATCACACATAGTTTAATTTAATCGTTTACGTATAGGACATTCCTTATTACCTAGTCAGTAGTCACTCTTTCAAACTTTGACTAAACAACTCGCCGTTTTGTACACATAATTTACATGAGTATATCTGTCGGTGAAAGCCATAAGTGTTAAAATGAGATAAGAAAAAAAAGTCGTATCGTACATAAGCGCTAAAATCCTAGTTACCTGTGGGTCACGGTGAATAGATATTAAATAATAACAGATATTAAATAATTTAGAACTACCAATTTATTAAATTTATATTTATTCACATGTATATTATATTTTAACAATTTATTATTGACATTTTTTGATAAAATATATTAGTTTTTTATAAGATATCAATTTTTAAATAACTACCYATCTACTTATAGGTATAAAATATTGATTTTGATGCGAATGATAGGTCATTTTTGTACCTTTGGTACTTATTTCATATAGCCGTATCTGTGACTTCCTCATATTTTATTTAACTGTCCTGTCCTGCGGCTTAAATGACAAATTCTATTTAACTCACTTGAATCTCTWAATATTCCTCTAAATCTTTACTCTAGTTTAAACACTAAATCCGAAACAGCTATAAAAATGATAATCACATTTATATTGGAGGCTGGCTTTATAATGTAGGTAGTATATAAAAATCAATCTGTTGTTAATTTAAATTTGTATCGTTTTTCTTTTTTAACTGTTAAGAGGACGCTACATCCGCATGTGTTATCTCCGTCTTACAAGCGCATACCTAACAGCAATTTTTACGCTCAAACAGATCACGTTTAGCTCCGTTAGTTAAAAATTTTGAGTTGACGTCTTACAAAAATTAAAGGTAACATTATTATGGAGAGCTTCTCGTAGGCTTTTTATTACAGGTTAATTTTAAAGTGAGTATGAGTATTTTAAAATTGTAAATTGTTTGTATATCTTAAAATACTCATAACTCGCTTTAAAATTAAAATGTAATAAAAATCCTATGAGAAGCACTCTATAATAATGTTACCTTTAATTTTTGTAAGAGGTCAACTCACCGTAAATTTTAAACTAACGGAGCTAAACGTGATCTGCTGAGCGTAAAATTTACTACGTTATGCACTTGTAAGACGGAGACAACACATGCGGGAGTAGCGTCCACTTAAGTTATCATAGTTGAATACTAGYGGCTTTAAAATAAAAATACACAAATTAATACATTTGTTTGGTTATGCTTAAATTCATGTTTTGAAATGCAAATGCAGACATGCAGTGCGCCGACTCGTCGATAATCGATAGCGAGCCACCTCCRCCGCGCTCCGCAACAACTATATCTACCACTGCCGCCGTCTCTTGCCTCCAAAACGAGACAATAGCTGCAGCGAATAGCCGCTCACCGATTTGCCTCCGACCGACCAGCAGCATTTATTCACCGTGGCCGCCGCCATAGCGCACCGGAGCGTTTGTTTACGTTTCCAATATCATTTATCATTAATTAATAATAATAATAATAATTTATTATCGTTGTTGTTATTACGATATTTTCTTTGTCTGGCGGCGGCGGTCCGCGTTTTCGTAATTTTTTTTGTTTTTTCCATCCGTCTTCCCCACCGCCGTTGCCGATTTGCGCAGTACAAACAACAATAAATTATTATTCATTATACTCGGTAGTCGATATTTCGTCACCGACGCCGCCGCCGCCGCCGCCGCTTACGTCCGCACCGCGCCGCCTCCTTCACCGTCCGACCACCCACAACTTCTCGGTTATCAGTTAAATGCGGCGTCYCTCCCGACGCGACCGATAAACCWTCGAATCTCGCCGACGACCGCCAGTGGGGACGACCGTGCGAACCGAACACGCTCGCGCCGGCTCTCTTGGCCGTGATCACGACATGCTAACGCTGAGTCGCCGACGGTAGGTTACAATAACTTGAAGCGCGCACGCCATGCATCACGGCGGACGACGGACACCTGGCCGGCATTGAGCACCCACCACGACCGGAGAAACTGCGTCTGAAACGGAGCCTGTGGACACTGAACTACACCAGCTGTGAGTGAGTAAACTCGGTCAGCGCCCGAGCCTTGCGGTAGTTCTATCGTTTTTGTTTTTTTTATTTTTCATATTTTGGTAATTGTAATATTGTGAATATTGYGATGAACTTACATTCGATACTCTCATGCAACGGTATGCACCTGCTACACTGTCGCACGGTACGATGTTTTCTGAACAATTGGGACAAAATGTATRAAATACATTAGAAGATAGGTAGTACCTAGGCAGTGGTTGTTTTTGTACTAGGTATGTTTAAGACAGATTGCCGTCTATTTTATGTTGATGATGTTATTGCGTCCATCGTCACAGCATCACAACATTCACAACTGATGCTTCTATTAAACTATTTTGATCATGAATGGTGTGATTGTAAAGGTCCTGGTTTGGTTTAAATCTATACAACACATAACTTTACCATATTGTCTATCAATTACTATCTATCACTATACACATTTGCCTACTGATRGTCTGACCGTTATTAAGTTATAATCATACCTTGTTGTTTCGATTAAGTGTCATATAGTTTTTGTTTAAAACAAATACAGTACTACTTCCTTATAATGGTATTACTTGGTACCAACTGATTTTTCTGTTGTAAAAGTGTTTGCCTTATAAAAAGACCAACATTTACAGAATATCTTTAGATTAAGGACTGTTATTTTTTTCCGTTATAAATATATTCCATGTTATACGTCATAGACAATATTCATTGCCTGCCATTCAAATGAAAAATCAAATTATTATTTTTAGTCAACATCTAAAATCCTGTTAACAACAATTTATTTTATTTTTAATGCTTGTAATTTACCTTTTTTTCAAAATATTTACTCATATTTACTAACACAAAGTAGGCACTAACAAAATTATGTACCTAACTACTAGTGATATTAACAGTATCAGATCGTACTAACCACACATAAGCAATCTCAWAGTTATCATAATTTTTAGTTTTGCGTCTTTCTGTGTTTGGATGTTTTGAGTGTAAGCACCTATCATGAACCTACATTTCTCTGTTGATTGTATGTAGTTATTTATCTTTATGTTGCACACTAGTCAGCATGAATAACAGAAGTAACTTCACATTCTTTATATCATTATTGGAAGTAACATGTTTTGGTTCTCTCTTTGTACATAAAAATATTGTCAGTTAATATTGTTTTTTTACGTACAAAGTACATATTAAAAGTGGGTACCTGTAGTAGTAAGAATAAAAATAGTTTGAAAAAACATTTCATGAGCATCACATCTGATTAAAACTATATGTGTGTACCTCGTTTACAATATGTTGAGTATTAAAAAATAGTTATTGCTTTTAGATTATGTCTTTAAATTATAAACTATTGTCTACCTTTAAACATTATAGTAATTTTATATTTATTAAAAATTTCTCAAAATGATGTCCAGGGCTTTAAAAATTTATCCTAGTGTATTCTATGCCAACTTTAAAAGACTAGGGACCAACCTCTGAGTTTTTTAAGGTTGTCGCGATCGACCAAAAAAAAAAAAAGTCAATAAACAAAATAAAAATTAATTTTAAATAGAAGTATTGTTATATTATTATTTTACACAAGTATTATTAACACGTTTAATTTTCACAATTTCACACAACACGTAATTTAATGCCTACACGATATAACTCTATATTACTGTATAGACTCATTTCTCAGAATTTTTATATTAATGAGATAAGTATACAAATATACACACATTTACAAAAAAAAAAAATTCAAAAATTTAAAAAAATGCCAAATGGTGTCACAATCGACCTGTTGGCCATCCCTGTTCTATACTGTTCGACCATTTTTCCATATTAATTTAATAATATGTTATTAGGTGTGTATTATCTATAAATAATTTAAATTGGTTGTGAACAATCGATTGTATTCAAAATGGCAGTTCACGGGTCAACACCCAAACGTAAAGAAATTTACAAACATGAAGCGCCATGGCCGCTATATAGTATGAACTGGTCTGTGCGGCCTGATAAACGATTTCGGTAAGGATAGTATATTAGCTAATAACTGTACCTATATTTATTTAATACTACTTACTTTTATGTTGTAGCCTGGCTATTGGGAGCTTTGTAGAGGAATACAATAACAAAGTACAAATTGTGTCATTAGACGAAGAAGTATCAGAATTCAGTCCTAAGAGCACATTTGATCATCCATATCCAACGACCAAAATTATGTGGATTCCTGATAGTGTATGTGTTGAGTATTATACTGTGGATATTATTAACTTTGATTTTTATTGATAAGTTTTATACCAAACYTTGTTTGCATTATAGAAAGGAGTATTTCCCGATTTGTTAGCTACAAGTGGTGATTATTTACGAATTTGGAGAGCGGGCGAACCAGAAACAAGACTAGAATGCATTCTTAATAATGTGAGTATTTAAATTTAAAATTATTTAAACAATTAAATTCCCCAGTGATTATTTTTCATTACTTAATTTTAATGTTAAAGTTAGTCTTCAATAATACATTTACATTTAAATATTTAAAAAAAAATAGATTATAAAATCTGTTTCTTGTAAATTTTAGTATTTCAATATTTTTTATTTTATTATGTTATTAGAACAAGAACTCAGACTTTTGTGCCCCATTAACATCATTTGACTGGAATGAAGTTGATCCAAATTTAATTGGTACATCTAGTATAGATACCACATGTACAATTTGGGGTCTTGAAACAACTCAGGTAATTTTATCAACAATATTTAATTGGTAAAAATGATTTGATATWTTTTTTWAATTAATTATTAGATTGTCGGTCGAATTAATTCTGTTGCTGGGCATGTTAAGACTCAACTTATTGCTCACGATAAAGAAGTGTATGATATAGCTTTTAGTCGTGCTGGAGGTGGCCGTGATATGTTTGCTTCAGTTGGTATGAAAACTCAAAATTCAAATTAATTTACTACTCTTTAAAAATTAATGTATTTTAATACAGGGGCTGATGGTTCAGTTAGAATGTTTGATCTGCGGCATTTGGAACATTCTACAATAATTTATGAAGATCCTCAGCACTCTCCATTACTTAGACTTGCATGGAACAAGCAAGATCCCAATTATCTTGCTACAGTTGCTATGGATGCATGCGAGGTGAATAATATTTGTCATTTTATTTAATTGATTATTTAATTAAATTTAAATTTGTTGTCTAAAGGTTATTATTTTGGATGTCAGAGTGCCTTGTACGCCTGTTGCTAGATTAAACAATCATAGGGCATGTGTTAATGGAATTGCATGGGCTCCACATTCATCTTGCCATATATGTACAGCTGGTATGTATATTACGTAGTTATACGTTTCTTTATTTTGTTATGATAAATAATAATCACAATTTTTTATTCAGGTGATGATCACCAGGCCCTTATATGGGATATCCAACAGATGCCTAGAGCTATAGAAGATCCAATACTAGCATATACAGCTGCAGAAGGTGAAATCAATCAAATTCAATGGGGTGCCACTCAACCAGACTGGATTGCCATTTGTTACAACAAGTCGTTGGAAATATTACGAGTGTAGTAATAYTGTTGGACTGTAAATGTTGTAAATGCATTATTATTATTATATAATATACTAGTTTTATTTTTATCAAATTTTTCAAACCAATATAAATTATTTGACTCAGATTTTACTAACAAGACTTGCAAATTTTATTTCTTACTTATGATTTATAAGAGACCGTGATTTATTTTTATTTATGATTAATTTATATTTGTGTTTTCCTGAGTTATATTATTCTAATAATTTTTTACAACATAGTCCAATACTTTGTATTATTAAAAATTTTAGTATGGAATGTATTTTGTTAACAGCCCGCCAGTAGATGAATTTTAGCCTGTATTTATGATGAAGAATACTCTTAATAGTAATAATGTATATTTTAGTGTCGACTTTTGGTTTTTTTTCAATTGTTGTAAGCTAGAAAAATAATTTTAATAATAAATAGTATATATTATAAATTTATTTTTATTATTTACATAGTGGTGGCCAACAMATTTATGTTTAAGCAAATATTATGTAAGACCATTAATTCGCAATTTGTAAATATTTACCAATTATCTATAATATTAATTTCTTTTTGACAATTGTGTGATTTTTTTTGATTTTTTATGGTAAATTTAAATTTTGATAATCGCATTTGTACGAAAACGCAATAATTAATTTTTATATTTATATACAGTGTGGTGTCAGTGTAAATGCAACAAATATATGAGTAACCCACTGTTATTTTAAGTATAATTGATAAATAGTTATTTACTAGTAACATGTAAGTTATTAATACTTAAAATCAACTGTTTTAACGATAACAAATAAATCATTTTTTTCCAACTATCAACTATGCATATTAACTAATACCTCATTATTTATTTTGAGCTCAAATTTTAAATTATATTTATAGATCTTAGATAAGTTTTCAATAGAATAAAGTGATGAAAGATACAAAAATATGCATATTATAATGAAATAAATTAATAAATCTTTTTGTGTCATATAAGGAAAATACAATATAATTATACACATAGTAAAATTTACATTTAAATGTTCTATGCTTTTCTTTAAATAATGCGAAGTRTTAAATAAAACGATACATTTGTTGAAAATTTCTTAAATTTTTTGATTAAAATTGAATCTTTTGAACAATATTTCTGTTTTAGTTGTAACATTTTCCACTTTGGGTGATCAAATAATTATAAAATTTTTAACTATTCAATATAAGATGAAATATGTTAAAATGCTTCAAAACTATGAATATTAAACACGCATTTTATACACATCAATGTGAGACTATCATAATTATTATATGTTTAAAATAAATGTAATTTTTTTTATTGAGAAATCTGTATATTTTGGTTTAAAAAAAAAATTATTTTATTAATATTTAAAGGAAGTCAAAATAATAAACATTAGCATTACAAAAAATAAAATAATATTTAGAAAGCAAAGTTTTTTAGGTCACTTTCTTGTACCTAATTAGTATCTAATTATTAATTTGTTTTAAAATGTGTTATTAAATAACAACTCAAATCTTAGTACAACATTGAATAATAGTAAATAGTTATTTTCTTTATTAAAATGTCAATGTTCTTTTTTATAGATGACAGTTATTTAAATTTATATATACATTATTACACTGTGTATGTAAATAGGTAATTAATATTTGAGTTAAATTGTTGATTTCTATATTTAGTATACAAATGTAATATGATCAGATAAAATAAAATAATTATCATCATATAAAGTAAATAACTTATTTATTTATTTATTAATAATACTAATAATATTGACATACACAAAAAGTTGACTCACTTTTTAGAAACATATTTTAAGTGGCAACTAACATTTAGATAACAAATAGATCGATGAACTAGTAACTACGTTTTTGTAATAATATTAGATACCAGAAGGCAGGAATAATAAAAATGTTTGATGATAAGCCCTGTTCTAATGACAGATTAGAATGAATCCTGATGGGAATATAGTTTGTAGAAATCTATTATAAGTTATAGTTCATAAATATGTAATTAATAATTAATACATTTATTCTAAAATCTGTTAACTTATCTACAATGATTAAAACTTATATTTTATTATTGGTAAGGGTTATACGTATTATGATTATTTAATTAGATTATCAATAAGTAGTTATAATTAATGTTTGTTTGTTTGTTTTTTTTTTTGTTTTTGAGCTAAGGTCTTATAGGTCTAATACAATAAATTCTGAATAAAAAGTATTACTACCATAGTACATTTTACCATATTATATAAATTATAAAATAACAATTATTATAATGATTCTTCAAATATTACAATATTTTCAATTTTTCTTCAATTTTACTCTCAAACCTGAATCTTGATTCCACCACAACTTATACATTATTGACCATGTAGGTATAAGTGTATAGTTTCTTTACATGTAACAATTCAAATTTTTTACAAACTCAAATTTATACAGATTTAAAGATTAATATTACATTTTTACAATACCTACTCAATATAATTTTAACTACTATATTTGTATATGTTTTGTTTGCCATAAGCCCATAAATAATATCATAATCTTACATGAAGTTTTTATTCCGTAACAGTTTACATGGGGATCTGTTTTTGAATCAAATATTCAAAATAACCTAAAYTTGTTACCTTTGGTTATTAAAATCATCTATGCTGTTGCCTATACCTAATGCTATTGGTAATCTAATAAACGTTCAGAAATTAATCAGCTGCATGACTTATATTAGCACTCTTTAATGTTAAAGGTGCGGTTATAGTTTTAATTGAGTTTAATAATTAAAATATATTTCTTAACACACATCATCGTATAGTCGTGTAATACTTAAAAATTACATCTAAGTACTAACCGT